TCATCTCTGCTTGTTGCTATGGCCACACCATACGTCAGGCTTGCACTTCCCCCCCGCTCCCCCCCAGACCTGTTTGTTTATGACAGGCCTAGGTGCTTCCTATTATGGTGCTCGCATCAGCATAGTGTGCAGGGGGGGAGCCGCCCCCCGCCACTGAGGCGATCAGCATGCAGCAGAGGACGGAGATGCTGAGGAATCCGAGCATGCTCCCTGCAACACCGCACACAAGGGCTGCTCTGAGACACGGTACACGCCACGCAGAATAACGCATCCAGGTCTGGCTGAAGAAGTCCTTGTCACTCTGGTTTTCTGGGGCAGTAACAGCTGAACGTGGGTGAGCTAAGGCTAAGAAGGGAGAAACCCAGGGAACCACATGTTTAGAAAGCAAAATAAATGCTGCATTTTGCAAGGTCTCGAGTACCTGTCTGTCCCCCCTGGTTCTGCCATGCTGCTACTGAGCAGCAAAGAGGCGAGCATTTTAATTCACATAACAAAAGGACAGTAAAAAACATCTTTACAAACCCACTCATCATTAACCTCCAAATGTATTTCTAGTATTTCACAGCTTGTTTCACTCATTTCAGCAACTAAACTGAAAACATTTTGTTTGTTTCATGTGTACTTGTAGGGGACTTCCCTTTGTGCACAGGGAAAATGTGGCCAAAAACAAAGGTATGTTAACTCTCACAGTACCCACGCATCACTTGTAATGTATCAGAGCTTACCCATCATACAGCAGGAAACAAAGACACCAATGCCACATTTGTGGCAATAAAGCTCACCAACAATAGCCAAAGATTCACGATACTGCTGACATACTCAAGAACACCAACCACCTGCAAACCCAGCAGCAGCAAAGCTTAGAGCCCAGTCATTACCCTTCAAAATCATTTGCAGAAGCACACAGCAAAGCAAAACTTTTTTATCAAAAGGGTTACCAAATCTTTTTAAAAAAAAAATAAATTCAAATGTTCCTTGTATTTGTCATTACTTATCACAGCGCCAATAAAGTTTGGCAAATTTCAAGCACAGAAAATACGTTAACTGGTCAAAAGATTGCATGCATAAAAATTCTATTTTCTAGTCCTTCTTGCCCATTTTTCATTAAAACATGTTCAAAGATGCTCCAGTCCACAACAACTACTTGGAAACCTACTTTTCAGTTGTTTCTGCTCTTAAAACTCTTTCTTGTTCCAGTAATGAAAACAGCACTTCTTGCTATTTCATTTGTTCTTACACTAGCCCCTTCTGCTTACCATTCTTTCCTGTTGGAGTTGCACTATTCCAGTGTCCCAAGGATGAAGTTTGTAGAAACAGTGCTAAAGAGCATGGCCAAAATGTCACCTTGGGTATTTATCCTTTCTTTCTTCAGATCAGCTCTGAAAACTAACAACTGCTTCCTTTTGTCAGCGAGTACACATGAATCGTATCCTCACCTCACAAAATTACTCTTCATTCAGACCTCCCTTTCAAGCTCCAATGGGTGGCTGATGTATTATGAAAATCATTGTTTCTACATACACATAAGAAACCCTCAGGGTGAGGTACCTTTCAGTTTACATTTTACAGCACGTAATATAAACCCATACCTTGAGAAAGAGTAAGAAAAAAATATTTGGCACCTTCACTTCTAGTCCCTGCAGATAAAATAACTTTTGCAGTACCGACTGCTGCAGTGCTGCCTTCCTGAATCTATTAACTGTTATCACTATACAACAAGAGAAGGATATTTCACGACAAAATTCTACCTATACACTTGGTGACCCCTTCTCTTTAAATTTGATTTATATCAGTACTGTTAGTCATTTTGCTCTTGGCCACTTGATCAGACATCTCCGTTACAACTGTTCATTCTGAATGGCAAAAATCAAGTTTATGACAATGTTAGTATCTCAGCTGGCAGTGTGAGGTTGTCTGTAATTCTGGGTAAAATTACTACATTAAGGCTATACAGTCAACCTTGGCCACAAGAAGATCAGATAGCAAGCTTTAAATACGCTAACGCCTGCTTGGACGGGTCCTTTCAATCATGTAAACTAATTCAATTAAAAACCACACATCATTATACCCATCAAACAATACTCCTGGCCTTATTTATGTGGGGAACATGACTGATGTACCTGAATGGTTACAAGATTGCAGTTAACCATACACACTTCCTGTAAGGTCCAGCTGTTTATTCCAGAATAAAATGAACACTGACTTTGTTTTGATTGCTTCCTGTGACTTTCAAAAACCTGCTTGTAAATTTCTTCAAAAGGACAGACTTCAGGCAAAAAGAAAATGCCACTGGTTAGTATACAGTGCTTATGAGCACAGGCAAGCAAAATCTACCATTAACACACCTTAAATTAGTGATGGAGAATGACGGAGGAGCTTGAAAACCAGCCTGGACTAGTGCACATTAAAGTAATTACTGCCTCATTAACATTTTGCCAACATCTAGTGTTGATGAGAGTGGATTGCACTCTGATGTTCAGGAAACCTGCTAATGAGTGACCTTCCTAACTGAAAGCCTAACTTACACGTGAATGTATGCCATGGGGAGCACAGGGAGTCCTGCCACCAAGCTGTGCCATGCAAATGCTCACTGGACAGCACGGCTCAACATGTGAAAGCAGCAGCAAGATGCTCTGAAGTATCTTCCCAGACTTGCACTGCCACAAGCGCATCTTAACTGCTCTACCTCAGTCCCCCAACCTGAGAAACAGAAATACTTCTGATCTGTAACGTCATGGTGTATCACTGCAGCACAGCACAGGCCATTTTTTTAAACATAACTTTCAGTACAAGTAGATGAAAAAAAGGACCTTAAAAGATCTGTGTGGTTTCACAGGTGTAAAGCTAACTCAGATACTGTTAGGTGTTTTATATCCTGGGTGGTTTTAACAGATCCATAAGCTATTTCCATACTTTTTGTACAAATGAGAAACTACCCTTGATCAGGAAAGATGAACTACTACTATGCAAAACTAGATATGTGTATTAATTGCAACTGATAATTCTTACGTGTAATAGAAGATCAAAATCAATCAAATTTAACTGGAAGCTCTGCTCTCAGTTTAACTTTCCTTTGTCCTCTTGCTTTCCCTTCCCAAATAAAACCGATAGCAAAAACACATAAACCAGCAGCCTTTCCCTTAGCAACTACAAGCAGAGGATGTAGTTAAATATCATCTTGCTGGGAGATCTTATAGAATCATTGAGTCAGCTCAATTTTATTAGCTGATCATACATTAGTTGGTTACAAGTTAATTAATAGAGGTAGCACACTGTTTAAATTTTATTTGTAGATAACCTTGTAAACAGGCCCTGCACATCAGCTTGATGCAGTGTTGCTCCACTGCCTGTGCAGATTACACTACTGCCTGTGTGGCTCCATTTCCAAAGCAGCGCCAAGGACAGCCAGCCGTGTCTCCCTGGGTTGTGGACTCAGATGAAGCAGCCATCCCCGTCGCAGCACGGCTCCTTCACCAGGCACCTGGCAGGGTGGCCACAGCGAAGCTGCAGATGAACTGCTCAGAGGTGAACCCCAGCTCAACAGGCAGGTGCCGGCCTCCACCCTCTCCACTCAGGCGGCCGCAAGGCAGGACGAGTAGCATCGCTTTCCATCATGCCTTAGCTTGCCTACACTTCGTTTTGCAGCTACACAGGGGACTGGCTGCAAGTCAACTGCAACTGGGATCAATTTCTATTGAGACAGGCTGTATCTAAAAAACAATAAATCAGAACAGGACATATCCATCCATAATACACTTAATTCGATGCTAACTCTCCTAAACATGGAAAGTTTTGGCGGATGATACCAAACCCTCTACTAACGTAACTGAGACAGAAGAGTTTCTTAGTGTAGTTTCTTTATGAGGCAGAGGCTGAATTGACATTTCAGCAAACACCACGTTCACTGTACCAAAACTTTATATAATAGCAGAAGCTGCGTCTTATTGAAAACAAAAAAACATTATTAAAAAGAAAAAAAAGGCCACTGCTTTCCAAAACACTTCATGTCTTAGTCTAACCTTGATTACAGCAACACTCTACCATGAATACAATGCAGGAGTTCTTGGTTCTAAATACTGTCACAAGCCACAAGTGTTTAGATACTTATCATGCTTTGCAGTAGCCATGAATTTCACTTTATTATTAAGCAAGAAGTTATGAAGTACTCATGTCCATGAAGCCTTTTCCAAGTAAAAACTTTGAAAAAAAAATTTTTTTTTTAATGCCACAAAAAGGCACATCGATGTTTGCATTTCAACTTTACATAAGTTTCTGGAAAAACATCATAATTTTAAAATTCTCTGTTATGGTGGTTGAAGGTATTTTCCCACATCAAGTCCTAGTTATTTACTCTGTAAAATTTTGTCTATATTACTCTGTGCCATTACACTAAAAGGAAAGAATCTTTCATACTGTGGCATTTCCTATAATTAAAGATGCTACAAAAAGAGCTATTTGTGTGCTGGTATGGACCATTTGCTTATATTTATGGAAAAAATTATCGTGTTATTAGCGACTGGAAAGCCATGCAATCCTAGAAGCAGCTAAAAAGCTGAAAAGTGTTAAATCATAGCCACGCTCAGAGAGGTATCATTCCTCTTGCGTAGCTCGCACACCCAGGACTTTTTAAGAAGCCGTGAATGACAGATGCAGAAATCAATTAGTTTTTTCTAAAATGTAAAGTACAGACCGAATCTGTGAGATTAAGGGTTCCTAACTTGTTTTGAAGCCTTGAAATGCCAGTGTTTTTTGTACTGACCGTTATGGGTCAAATCTAGGCTCCTTTCCACTGGCACAGAATGGGATAGCCTCTGTGGTGTACTTCTATTTGAGAAGAGCCCCCAAAAAGAGCAGAAGAGGCTCAGCCCACCACCCAATTAAGATATTTCCAAATCGCAAAGGCCTACTTGTCGTGGCCCAGGGAGGCGAACATTTGCCATCGCGTACCCACACAAGAAGTAGGGGCTGCTCATGACTCAGACACCTTGAGCCTCACCCACCACGTTTGCTTCTTTCTCAGCAACAGACCTACAGCTCTATGACACCACCAAAGCCCCCACTTATGACCCTCACAGAAGAACGGGGCATTTCATCATTTTTCTCATTTGACACCAACTCAACAAACGCACAGAAGAGATTCAACCACTGCCAAACTGGTACCACTACTCCATCCACTTGTTTCTGAGAAGATGGAAGTGTTGAGAAATGACAAGGAGGGGTTGGTGCAAGCCATCTGCACGACAGCAAGTTTCACCCACTACCTCACTGCAGCAAACAGGAGCAAGTAAGGTTGTGCACAGATGCACAGACTGCACTCCAGCCCACAGGTCTTAAAATCTTTTTGGGCTGGCATCAGCGCATGGAAAGGTTATCCTTCCTTACCTCCATGGTCCTCTTTTCCTTTTCTCTTGTTATGAAGTAAAAGAAAATCGGGGAACCTGCACAAATGTGCAGTAATTCGATTTCAGGCTCACCACTTTATCAGCATCCCTTTACTCTGTCACTGTACAAACTAAAATCCCTATCGAATAAAAAACTCCCTGATGCTGCCCTCAACAAGCTTTTTCTTGCTAACAGCTGCCCCGTAATTGTAATCTTCATCAGAAGCAGCACTCCAAAGAGCTAACCAAATCCTCAGATTTTCCTAGAAAGATCTGGGAACATAAGAACAAACATAAGAACTATCATGTCAGCCAGCCAAGTGCAATGGCATTGCCAGACATTATATAAGAGGACTGTCACACAACAAACCCCCATCAAGTTTTTCATCTAGATATCCAGGCTCTTTAAATCTCAGAAGGAAAACAGATGCTGCCTGCTTTGCAACAATTTAGTCATGACAACAACAAATTTCTTTTCTATTGTTACAGTTCCAGCACATTATTTCTCATGTGCAATAGCTGAAACTCAAGAGAATGACTGATGTTTAAATCCTCTTAAATGGATATGACAACATTATCCTATTCCTTAATTGGAAACAGGTCACTCTAATCGGTGGCTATGACAGAAGAGGATACAATTTTACTCTGGCTGAGCTTCCACATTTGGAAAAAGCATTGAAAAAAAAAAATTATGCTCCTACAGATGAAACGTGATTTCCGAAGACAATCTCCGAAGCATGCAACAAACCCGCCCCCAAAGTTATCCACAAGAATTCAAAACAAGACAACACTGAAGACTAGTCTGTTAATAAAAGACTGAGCCAGTGGCATGAGCCATGTTTACTAGTTCTCGACTTGGCACATCTAGGCTCCTACAAAATTACTGACCACCAGAGCACGTAAGCTTTTCCACAGAATAAGACCAAGATAAAACAGATGAACGGACTAAATCAGGAGTCAGAGCTCCATAAATTCTGGGCATGGGGAAACCCCGAGAGCTGCTGTCAGCCTGTGGGAACACGATGCTGCTTCTCCATCCAGTGGCCTGCGAAGAGCTGCCAAGAGGTACGGGGCAATTTCAGGCTTGGCTCCCCTCGCCCCAGCGAGGGTCACGCAGGCGTGAGGGCAGCAAGGCTCTCCCCTGCCCCTGCGAAAACCCAGCGGAGGTGTAACAGCACTTCTGTTGGAAGCATGTTAGGGAATTTACACATGGTCCATT